CTCGGAGTGCCGCCCGGGGCGAGTCTCCCGACGCGCTCTCTCGGCCCGACGCCCGGCGGCGTCTCCCGCGAGGGAGTCTGTGCAGCGCCAGCTGTCGGTACAGGATCTGCCCCCGATGGATCCCACGGCTTCGCCACGAGGAATGCCCGATGGATCCCCGATGGATCCCCGATGGATCCCCGATGGATCCCCGATGGATCCCCGATGAATGCCCGGTGATGATAATGAAAATGAGAATGATGACGATGATGATGATGATGATGACGATGACGATGACGATGATGATGATGATGATGATGACGATGATGATGATGGTGATGATGATGATGATGATGATGGTGATGTTGATGATGATGATGATGATGGTGATGATGATGGTGATGGTGATGGTGATGGTGATGGTGATGATGATGGTGATGGTGATGGTGATGGTGATGGTGATGATAATGATGATACTGATGATGATGGTGGTGATGCTGATGATCATGACGATGTTGATGATGAGGAAAAGGATGGTTATGACGATGATGGTGATGGTGGTGATGATGATAACGACGATGATTATGATGACGAAGCAGGGGGGAATCATGTACAACGCCAATGTGTTGTACAGAGTGTTTCGCCCCCCCTGGCTTCCGATGGCTCTGCTCCCGATGGATCCCACGGCTTCGCCGCGCGGGTGCTTTCAATATTTGACGATGACGATGATGATGATGATGCTGCTGATGATGACGAAGTTGATGATGATGGTGGTGCTGATGCTGCTGATGATGTGCTGACGATGATGCTGATGAGGATGAGGATGATAATGAGATGGTGATGATGATGACAATGCTGAAAATGGTGATGATGTTGATGATGCTGGTGGTGATTGTGATGGTGATGATGGTGATGATAATGGTGATGATAAGAATGATTAACATGATGGTAATGATAATACTAATATTCCTGATGATGATTAGTATGATGAAGATGTTGCTGATGATGATGAGGATGATGATGATGATGATGATGATGATGATGATGATGATGGAAGAGAAGGTGTGATCGTGATGGTGTTGGTAGTGATGATGACGATGATGGTGGCGGTGGTGATGACAATGAGCATAACGACGAGGAAGTGTACGTTCTGAACAGAGCCAGCTTCTTTTGCAGAATTCCCCCCCAACAATTTTTGGCGGATAACGGAGGCGGGTCTCTCATGACCTTCTCTGGCCTCTGGTAGAACTGCCCCAAATGGATCCCACGGCTTCGAGCGCATATCTGTCTATCTCCGGTGGTGGTGATAATGATGACGATGATGAGGTTGCTGATGATGCTGATGATGGTGGTGGTGATAATGGTAGTGGTGATGATGATGGTAATGATGTTAATGTTGCTGCTGCTGATGGTGGTGATGATACTGATGATGATGTTGATGCTGATGCTGATGCTGATGCTGATGATGATGATGATGATGGTGATTCACAGTATCATTCTTAGTATGATGATGATAATGGCGATGACAAGTGATGATGGTGGTGATGATGGTGGTGTCGATGATGATGCCAACGCCTTAGAAGATACGGGTTGCTGCGGCGCCTCTCGCTCCGTGAGGTGTACGTCCAGACCCCGTAAAGTCTAGCCTTGCAGCATGCCTCTTCGCATGATGGGACGGCTCGGCTTGCGGTATGCCTCAACGCCCGCGGCGACTCGGCTTGCAGCAAGGAGGAAAAGGAGGAGGAGGAGGAGGAGGAGGAGGAGGACGAGGACGACGAGGAGGAGGAGGAGGAGGAGGAGGAGGAGGAGGGGGAGAGGGATGACGCCTGGGTTTGAAAAGGGCAGGAAGAGAGAATGCAGGGTCTCTTGAGGCGTTCTTGGGGCATCGTGGGCTGCCTTGTGGGCCTCTTGGGCCGTCTGGGGGGCCTCTTGGGCCGTCTCGGCGCCCTCGTGAGGCTCTCTGAAGTCGTGTTGGGGCGATATCTGTGGGGCCTCCGGAACTGTCTTGGGGTGTCGGAAGCCGACAAAGCAGAACTGCGAAAATCAATCAAGAACCGACAAGGAAATCAATGAACTTTGCCTCTTGGGGCTCTTTGGGAATACTCTCGGAGGCCCTTGGGCCGTGTTGGAGACCTTGTGGGCTGCTGGAGGCCATCTTGCGCGTCTTGGAACGATATTCCCGCGACCCTCTGCTCTCCTGGACCGTACTGGGGGCCTCTTGGAACCCTCGTGCCGTGTTTTGGGGCTGCCTTGGGAAGCTCCGGGGGGCCCGGAGCAGCCATGCGCAGGCGAGGTCCCTGGGCCGGGGCCGCGGACCCCTGTAGCCAGGGATGTGCACAGATAACGGGGGACCTGGTCGGGGGGACCCCGGGGCTGGTCCGCCGACCGCACATGTGAGGTCGGGGGACCAGCCCCGGTAGATATTGTCACTTCGGATCGACATCAAGGTTGATGGCCTCGGGCGCGCCGCCTGGGAGGGGCGGCGGTCAGTCCAGCGTGCTTCATCGCGTCTTTGATCTTCTGGAGCTTCGGGAGGCCGGACACGTCTGGTCATTGAGACAATCCGTGGTAAAATTCGAACGTCGCCTGCCACTCGAAGTCCACGTGGTGCCACCGTGGTGCACCCGGTCATCGGTGAATGGCCGCTCCAGCGCGGGCAGGCGCTGGGGGTGGCGTCAGAAGAGGACCGCTCGGTGGTCAGACAGCTCGGCTTTCCATCCCAGGGCAGCTGACTTGACCTCCCCGCCGAGTTGATCCGCCGCGTGCTGGTTGCAATCAGTCCGATCCAATCGCGGCTGGACGCGCGAGGACGCGGAGGTCATGTCTGGCTGGGGCATGTCCTCCAATTGGACGCCCGAGTTATCCGGGGTAACTCGGGTCCGGGGTAACTCGGGTTTGGGTTCCCGAAAAACGAACCCGAGTTAGCCCTGACCCGAGTTACCCCTGATGATTCGGGGCCCTGGACGCCCGAAATATCCGGGGTAACTCGGGTCCGGGATAACTCGGGTTCGGAATCCCGAAAAACGAACCCGAGTTAGCCCTGACCCGAGTTACCCCTGATGATTCGGGGCTCTGATACAATTCCGAACGGCCTACCGATCACTGCCTGGAAGTGGCTCTCCTCGCGCTGGCCACGCTGGCCGGAAAGGCCGGCATCGGAGCAGCCGCGGCGGCCCACTGCAGCTGGGACCCACTCAGAGCTACCTCCCTAGATCCACGTGGCTCCCATCGTACTGAAGGACCACATCCAAGAAATAATTTCGACAGGGTATTTTTCGACACCCCTCACGAGGATCGTGGTCTCCGAGGGGGGAGCCGCAATCGACTACCCCCAAGAGCCCCCCAAGAGGCCCTGGGGGCCTCCAAAACGCCGCCAAGGAGCCCCAAGAGACTCCCAAGAGGTCCCCAAGAGGCCCCCAAGAGGCCCTAAAGAGGGTTCCAGGGCCGGCGGCATGAGCGAAGCGATTAATGATTTCGACAACCAAGGAAAGTATCAACACAGTGTCGAGCGAGTATCGCCTCACAGGGCCCGACACGAGGAAATCCTCGAGTTCTGATACGTTGTTGCTCCCAATTCTTTCTGGTGGTCGAGGCTAGAGCAGATTGGAACATCGCAACCCAAGATGGTCAAAGTGCTGGAAGGGGCGCCGATACGTTGGCCAGGCCAGGCACGAAGCAGATCGCGAAGAGCCGGGCAAAGACGAGCAGCGGGGCCGCCGCTCCTCTGGGACCCCGTACATATCCAGGTCCTGCACCGACGCGCCAGTGTGAAAGTAGCTAATGACTACCTACCAGACCACCCCAACCCAACCCGAAGACCCGAATTTCGGGTTGGGGGGGGTAAGGGTTCCACATGTGTTTTTTCGACGTTTCCCGACCCCCCCCCACTGGAAATCGAGGGTAAATCTGAGCCTTCGGGTTGGGTTGGGGTGGTTTGGTGGGTGGTGAGCTAACGATGCCGTCCAAAGCGCCTTCCCTGCCGCGCAGACGCAGCCAGAGGGCTCGCCCAGGCCGTAGGGTCTCCCACTCGATCTGCTCAGTGCGCTCGAAAAAACGCGTTCTTCACAATGATGCCGACGCCGGCCTGGCCCGTGGAGGGGCCAGCCGACCACCGCGCAGCTGCTCCTACCGGTGGGTTCCAGGCCTTGTGCTGCCCAGGCGTACCATGGGCCTCCGTGACTAAAACCATGTCGCTGCGAGCAAGTAAGGAGCGCACATATCGGATTTTGGCGGCATGGCGAGATGCATCCACCGCGAAAAAAGCCTCAGCGTTCCACGAGACGATCGAGAGGTCGCGCCGGTATTGTCCCTGCCGCAGCCTCGAAGACTGAACAGGGGGCGCCGGGACAGAACGAGCCGGCGGCAGCACAATATGCCTTCCCAGCACTCCGACCGCACGGAGTAGGCAATGACGACGATATAAATGCTCTGGCACGTCCTCCAAGCAGCGTTCGTGCGCCGTTGAAGCCGTCGCAGGTAGCACGTCCAACCCACTAAAACCTAACGGTGGTAGCGGAGGGAACAAGGGGGAACTATCTCGAGCCGATGGAGATGAAAACCTCGAACTCAAAGGAGTCGCAACAAAGAAAAATATTCGCCGCCCCCTTCCTGTGCGTGATTAAGTGCCCAGACATCGAACGTCTTTACTGTTTTGAACACGGCTTCCCCAGAGGTCCCAACATCTTCCCAAGGGCAGTGCTTGCTAATTCTGACACGGCGGCGACGATACTGCAGAATGACCGGGGCGCCGATGGTGCACGTCTTCGGCGAGGCTACCCGACGAACACGAACGTCCCTCGACGCCTCTGACATGAGACGTGCTTGCCAGTCCCGGGGCGGGCCCCCTGGCGCCGAACACGCCGAACGACCCCCGTCCCTACCTTTTCAAGACGGTGCGTGTCCGGGGGGGTCTCTTGTGCAGGAGGCGCGCGGGCGAAGGCAGGACGACGCCGACGACGACGACGACGACGACGACGACGGGCCTGGGGAGACCTGGGGAGGCAGGGGCGCGTGGGTGCGGCCGTTGGCACGGCGGTGATGTCGTAGAGCATCGGCGACGTCTCGTGGAAGGGCGCGCCCCGCTTTGCCTCCAACACCTCGCGCGGAAGGGTGGGGCGACACTGGCTCGCCGACCACAACGACGTTCTCCTCGTCCTCCTCCTCCTCCTCATCCGCCTTCTCTTCCTCCTCCTCCTCTTCCTCCTCCTCATTCTGATTATTAGTCTTATTAGTATCAATATTCCGATTAGTATGATTATGCTTATTTTTAATCATCGTATAATTATATTATTCTTCTTAGTATGATCATTATTCGTAGTTTCCTTCTTCTTCGTATATGATATTATTCTTTCAATAATATTACCTTTCTATTTGCACGTTTGTATTATTATTGTTATCATTATGATTCGCCTTATTCTCTGTTTTCCCCTTCCTCTTCCTCTTCCTTTTCCTCCTCCTTCTCCTCTTCCTCCTCCTCTTCCTCCTCCTGCAACTCCTCCCCCTCCTCCTCCTCCCGCCCTCCCTCAGCCCTCCCTCCCTCTCTCCCTCCCTCCCTCCCTCCCTCCTCAATTATCCATCTTCCCTCCTCTCTCCTCCATCCGTCCCTCCCTCCCTCCCTCATCCCTCCCTCCCTCCCTCCCTCCGTCCCTCCTTCCCGCCCTCATCCTCCCTCCCTCCTCCCGCCTCCCTCCGCCCTCCGCCCTCCCACCTCCCTCCTCCCTCCCTCCTCCCTCCTCCTTCCGCCCTCCCTCCTCCGTCCTCCATCCTCCCTCCTCCTCCTCTTCCTCATCCTCCTCTTCCTCCTTCTTTCCATCACCATCATCATCAACATCATCATCATCATCATCATCATCATCATCATCATCATCATCATCATCATCAGCAGCATCAGCATCATCATCATCAACATCATCATCAGCAGCATCATCATCATCAGCATCATCAGCATCATGCCATCAGCACCAGCAGCATCATCATCACCACCACCATCAGCATCATCATCAGCAGCAGCAGCATCAGCATCATCATCAAAATCATCCTCATCAGCATCATTATCATCATCATCATCATCGACATCATCATCATCTTCAGCAGCATCATCACCACCAGCAGCATCACCATCAGCATCATCATCATCATCATCATCATCATCATCATCATCATCATCAGCATCAGCATAATCATGACCATCATCATCATGATCAGCATCATCATATATTTTCTACTCACCCTCCTCGTCCAACAACAAAATATTGTACGCACGGCACACACGCGCGCACACATGCCAGAGCAAAGGTACAACGCACGCGGGAAAACTATGCCAAAACACAAACCGCCTTGGACCGGCATAGTGAACGTCCCCCATCAAGCTCGCCAAGCGCAACTGAACCCCGGCAGAAAGCGCCGGCGAAACCCGCGACGCCGACGCGACGACAACGCACCCGCCCACCCACGACGCAGGCCTTTCGAAGAAAAAGCCCGTGCTTCTGCGCGACGTGCTGCGAAGATGACTCGCGCCTCGACTCGGGCCCCACCCGCGAGACGCAGGCCCGAGCGAAGGACAAGGCCTGGCGGAGGTCCGAATTCCCAGCGGCACCGACCCGAGACACCGCAAGATGTATCGGCCACGCGGCCAGGACACGGAAGTCCGCGCCTCGTGGCAGAAGCGATGGCTCGCACCCCGCACTTCGGCCCTCGAGCACACCGGTGAGCAGGATATGATAGACAGCCTCAGCACAAGGCATAGCGTGTCCACGTGCACGTTGCGCTATGGGGACCTCCACGCGCGACGTTTCAGGACAGCGCGGACGGACACATCCTTCGCCCCGCGAGGAGGACGCGAGGCACAAGAGCGCCGCGAACCCGAAAGGAACGTCACGGCATTGGTGCGCACCAGGCTCGGTGCAAGGCGGCGCTCCGAAACGCGATACTGCAGGTCCGTGCCGTGTCGACCCTGGCGTTGGTTCCTGACACCGCGCTGGATCGTTCAACCTTGAACGATCGGCCGTCTCCGCAACGTCCGATCGTTCAACATCGACCGATTCTGGGCCGCCGTATGCGTTCGGAGGAGGGAGAAGGAGGGAGGAGGAGGGAGGAGGAGGGAGGAGGAGGGAGGAGGAGGGAGGGAGGAGGAGGAGGAGGAGGGAGGAGGAGGGAGGAGGAGGGAGGGAGGAGGAGGAGGGAGGAGGAGGGGAGGAGGGAGGAGGGAGGAGGAGGGAGGAGGGGGGGGAGGGAGGAGGGGGGAGGAGGGAGGAGGAGTATCCAAATGCCAGGGCATGGGGCATCGCGGCCCGAGGGGAGCGCGGTCCGAGGGTGGCGGGGGGGGCCATCCGGCGGGCATTACGCCGTACAGTCGGGGCGTTGACCCAGGGAAACCCAAATGAGGAACGAGGCCCCCGCTTCCCTTAACTTGAGCTTCGGTTCCCCATGGAAAACCTAAGGAAAGCCCAAGGCAAACTGTGAAACAGTCCAGGAACACCGAGCTCCTCCCCAACGAAAAGGGTTCCTTGGTCGGCGCCCCGACTGTAGCCACGTCACCACGGCAAGGGAAGCATCGGCGACGCGTCGCAGAAGGGCGCGGCCCACTTCGCCGCCAGCAGCCCGCGCGGAAGGGTGGGGGGCGCCGGCTCGCCGACCACGAGGACGACCTCCTCGTCCTCATCCTAGTCCTGCCCCTCCCCCTCCCCCTTCCTCCTCCTCCCCCTCCTCCTCCTCCTCCTCCTCCTCCTCCTCCTCGTCCTCCGCCTCCTCCTCCTCCTCGTCCTCCTCCTCCTCGTCCTCCTCCTCCACCTCCTCCTCCTCCTCCTCCTCCTCCTCCTCCCCCTCCTCCTCCCCCCTCCGCGGCGAACGGGTCAAGGGCAGGGGCTGGGGGTGAACGGCGTTGAGAGCGCCGGCGGTGGGAGGGGGCGCTGCTCGCCGCGCGGATGGCGTCCACGTACAGGAAGCGGTCTGCGTATCGCCGCACCTGCCGGGAAAGGATCTGGACGACGACGGCGACGACAACGACGACGACGACGACGACGACGACGTCGACGACCCCAGAACTTGTCTTCACATTGGAGCCGCGAACGGTGGTTGCACGATGATCGACTCCGATACAAAATTAGGCTGCGAGTACCGCGAGGGAGAGGAGACGAAGGAGAGAGGCAGCAAAAAGGACTGCGGCGTGCACGAGCGGAAGAATAGCTGGCGCTGGCGAGCGGGGAGTCCTTTTGGTTTCTCCCGAGCTCCGTGCGCGGCCGTTTCCCCTCCCACGAACCGTGTGAGGGTGCGCCGAAATGGGGAAGCGGTGCCATGCGGACGGTGACGATGGGGCCTTCGGTGAAGCTCCCCATGGGGGCCACAAAACGTGTGAGAGGCGCGCCGAAATGGGGCGGCGTTGCCATGCGGACGCTCCCGCTGGGGCTTTCGGTGGAGCTCCCCATGGGGGCCACAAAACGTGTGGGAGGCGTGCCGAAACGGGGCGGCGTTGCCATGCGGACGCTCCCGCTGGGGCCTTCGGTGGAGCTCCCTATGGGGCCACGAACCGTGTGAGAAAGGTGTGCCGAAATGGGGCGGCGGTGCCATGCGGACGCTCCCGCTGGGGCCTTCGGTGGAGCTCCCTTTGGGGCCACGAACCGTGTGAAAGGTGTGCCAAAATGGGGCGGCGGTGCCATGCGGACGCTCCCGCTGGGGCCTTCGGTGGAGCTCCCTATGGTGCCACGAACCGTGTGAAAGATGAGCCAAATGGGGCGGCGGTGCCATGCGGACGCTCCCGCTGGGGCCTTCGGTGGAGCTCCCTATGGGGCCACGAACCGTGAGAAAGGTGTGCCAAAATGGGGCGGCGGTGCCATGCGGACGGTGCCGCTGGGGCCTTCGGTGAAGCTCCTTATGGGGCCAGGAACCGTGTGAGGTGTGCCAAAATAGGGCGGCGGTGCCATGCGGACGCTCCCGCCGGGGCCTTCGGTGGAATTCCCTATGGGGCCACGAACCGTGTGAGGGGTGTGCCACCAAAATGGGGCGGCGGTGCCATGCGGACGCTCCCGCTGGGGCCTTCAGACAATTGTTTTATTTGTAAGGGATAACGCATGTTACCCGGGGGGGGTGAGGGGGGGCAACGGTAACTGGGGCCGCGGCGCGCACCCCCTGAGGCGCGCCGCCTACGTCGTCGTCGTCGTCGTCGTCGTCGTCGTCGTCGTCGTCGTCGTCGTCGTCGTCGTCGTCGTCGTCGTCGTCGCCGCCCAAGCCCACAGCGCCTGTACACACAGCACGGGCTCTGTACAATTTCTTTGTGCACCAGGGCTGCTACAGAAATCGTATATGTGTGCACCACGACGACTGTGTACACCATGACGACCGCGTGCAACACGACGCCTTTGCACATCGCGCGATCTGTGCACACCACGGCGCCCGCGTGCACCACAGCCGCTGTTTGCGCACCCCCTGTGCACCACAGCGCCTGCGCACACCGCGAATTTCGTGTACGCCCGAAGGCCATGCCGACGGGACCAAGCTCCGGAAAATCGTCGGGGGCCCGAACGTATCGAATTCAATATCCGAGTTGATTATGATTATGTGTTTTCTGGCCCCCGGAGAACACCTCGTTTATCCACACAGCAACGCCGATGTACACCACAGCAGCTGTCTGCACCGCAACGCCTGTGACGATTGACACCACAGCTGCTGTTTCAGCACCCCTCCGCGTGCACCACACTGCCTGCGTGTACCACAAAACTTGCGTACACCTCCACGGTCCCGACGGAGCCAAAGTCCAGGAAACTGCTGGGGGCCCGAATGTATCAGATCCCGTATTAGAGAGAGAGAGAGAGCGTGATCCCCCGCCGCTTCACTGTGGAAAATTCCCCCCCCTCTTCCTCCGGAACCCGGGGCCTCCCCCCCCCTCCAAAAATCCCCCCCCCTCTGCCGAACCCCCCCCGCCCCCCCCCCCCCTCCCTCCCGGCAAAATCCCCCCCTCCCCCCTAACCCCCCCCCCCCTCCAGAAAACCGGGGAGGTTCACTACCGGTTCGAACCCCCACCTCCCTCCCCCCCCTCCGGAGAACCGGGGGGGTCACTACTGGTTCGAACTAACCCCCCCCCCCCACCCCCTCTCGAAAAACCATGGGGGGTCACCACCGGTTCGAACCCTCCCCCTCTCCCCCCTTCCCTTCCCGGAAACTGGGGGGGGTCACTACCGGTTCGAGCCCCCCCCTCCCTTCCCGAAAACGGGGGGGGGTCAGTACCGGTTCGAACCCCTCCCCTCTCCCGAAAACCAGGGGGGGGTCACTACTGGTTCGAACCCCTCCCCCCCCTCTCGAAAAAAGGAGGGGTCACTACCGGTTCGAACCCCCCCCACACGCTCACCGCCAGCAAACGACTCCCGGGTCCCTACCACCGTCCGCACCATATCCCCCACTGCTGTCCCCAGCAGCACCACTGTCCCCACTTTTCCCACCATTGTCCCCGCTGTCCCCACCAGTGCCCCCACCACTGTCGCAGTCCCTAGTCCCCAGCACTGTTCCCACCACGGTTCCACCCTCCCCACTTTCTCCACGGCCCCAACCACTGTCCCACTGTCCCCACTGTCCCACTGTCCCACTGTCCCCGCCACTGTCCCACTGAGCTGTCCCACTGTTCCCACCACTGTCCCCACTGTCCCCACCACTGTCCACACTGTACCTCTGTCCCATTGTCCCACGACTGTCCCACTGTCCACACTGTTCCCACCATTGTCCCCGCTGTCCCCAGCAGTGCCCCAACCAGTGTCTCAGTGTCCCCATTCTCCCCACCATTGTCCCACCACGGTCCCACTCTCCCCACTTTCACCACGGTCCCCACCACTGTTCCACTGTCCCCACCACTGTCCCACTGTCCCCGCCGCTGTCCCAGTGCTGTCCCACCGTCCCCACTGTCCCCATCACTGTCCCACTGTCCCCACTGTCCCCACCACTTTCCCCACTGTACTACTGTCCCACCAGTCCTCACCACCGCCTTCACCACTGTCCCCGCAACTACCGTCCCCACCACTGTCCCACTGTCCCCACCACTGTTCCGCTGTCCCACCACCACCCTCCCCACCTCTGTCCGCACCACTGTCCCACTGTCCCCGCACCACTGTCCCCACCACCACCGTTCCCACCACTGTCCCAGCATCTCCACCATTGTCCAACTGTCCCGAGGAGCGGGGATCGCTTGCCGGCGGCGAGGGAAGGGGGGAGGGGGGTTCGAACCGGTAGTGACCCCCCTGGTTTTCGAGAGGGGGGGGGGTCGAACAGGTGGTGACCCCACCCCCTTTTTCATGGACTGGGGGGGGAGGGGTTCGAACCGGCAGTGACCCCCCCCCGGTTTTCGAGGGGGGGGGGGACGGGTTGGGAACCCCCAGTGACCCCCCCGGGTTTTCCGCCAGCAGCGGTAGAACACGCTCTTTCCAATATAAAGATCTGATTGTGACTATTGTTTTTCTGGCCTGAGGAATGCTTGAACATTTTGAGCCCACAGCGAATGTGAAACACAACGCCTGTGCGCATGGAAATGAGGAGGGAGGAGGAGGAAGAAGTGCGACGATATGCGTGTGCCCTTGTTTTGAATCGGCGATAACCCAGGTTATCCGGGGAGGGTGAGGGGGAGCCAGCCGATAACCTAATATTCGCGCTGTGGGCAGCCCTGCATATGCCCTCGCGCACTGGTGCTGCGGCCCTACAGCTGCTGACGATGCTGACGCGATGCTACTATTGGTGCTGCGACGATGCGGGCGCCGTCTGAGAATGCCTATGGATGTCTGGACAGCTCGCATTGGAATACGCGGGATGTGGCTGCTAAGCGTAACCGCGACGTCTTGTGTACACTATCTATAGAACACGCGTGCACCACACTGCCTGTGAGTACTACAAAACATGCGTGCGCCACAACGGTCTTGCACACCACAGGTGCTGCTGCAGCAGAGGCTTCTGCGTGCACCACAGCGCCTGTGTATACACTGCGGTGATTGTGCGCACTAGAGGAGCCGCGTGCACCACATCGCATGGCAAACATTTGCGCCACAGCGCTTCCGGCCACCTCCAGGGTCCCGCTGGGGCCCAAATCTGGAAAACCCCCAGGCCCCAGCCCGAATGTATCAAATTCAATATGTAGGCTATGTGTGATTATTGATGTTTCTGGGCCGGCGTGCGGTCCCCCCCCCGGTTTTGGCCGACCATGTGTACACCACGACGCCTGTCTAGCGTGCGCCACGACTCCTTTGTACACCACGGCTGCTTGTGTACACCGCAGCGCCTGTCTACACAACAATGTTTGTGTACACCACAATGCCTGTGCACGCTACTACAGCAGCCGTGTGCACAGCAGCGCCTGTGTACACACCACACACACTGCCTGTGTACACGACGACGCCTATGTGCACCACCTTTGCTGCTTCAGTACCATACACGTGCACCGGAAGTGCTTGCGTACACCACAGAACTGCGCACCGAACTCCGGAAAATCGCAGGGGATCCGAACGTATCAAATCCAATATGTAAACTATGTGTGATTATTGATTTTCTTGCGCAGGGACCGGTCCCGTATTTTTGGGCCCACAACGCATGTGTGCACCATGACGACTGTGTGCAAAGCAACGGATGTGTTCACCGCAGCGCCCGTGTACACCACAAGGTGTGGTACACCGCAATGACCGTGCACCACAATGTTTCTGTACACCACCATGCTTGGGATGCCTGCGTGAATCATAAGTCATGTTGCAGGAACAGCTGTGCACACCACAGAGCCTGTCTTCACCATTTTGCCTGGTGCATCACGATGCCCGTTCCTTGGTGCGTCCAGTGGCGCGTCCCCCTGGCGCATCGCGCGGCGCGTTCGGTGGCATGTCCCGCGGCGCGTGCGCTGGCACGTTCCGCGGCGCGTCCCCCTGGCACGTTCCGTGGCGCGTCCCGTGACGCGTCCCCCTGGCACATCGCGCGGCGCGTCCGCTGGCGCGTCCCCAAGCACGTCCACTGGCTCGTTCCGTGGCGCGTCCCCTGGCACGTCCCCTGCTACGTCCATTGGCACGTCACGTTGCGCGTTCCCTGCCACGTCATTGTGCGGCGCGGCACAGCGCAGAGCAGCACAACACAGCCCATGGCACAGTATCATCACCGTTGATATCTTCAACACTGCAACTGCCCATCGCCCACGGGAGGTGCTTGGAAGCGTTCCCATGCCACGCAATCCCACCAGCCCTTTGGGCGTGAGTGGTTTAGCGAGCTCTCTCTGTCCTCAACCCCCCTTCTTCCCCTTCGGGGAGGGGTTTACCCCTCCCCCTACCCCCTCCCCTGGACCTGGAGAGGGAGTTCCGAATGGTGTCAAGGGGGGCCTTTTTCGACTCCTGGGAGGGCCAAAAAACGACGACCCTCACGAGGATTCTGGCCCCGGGGGGGGGGGGAGTTTGGTGTTTCTACTCGTCGTTGAAGCAAAAAACATTGATTTTACTAAGGTTTTGGCCCCATTTTGGCCTTCTGAGGGGGCCGCGCTCATTTTCCTGCATAGCAGAATCATTGATGTTACGAAGGTTTTGGGCTCATTTTGTCCTTCTCAGGGGGTAGCGCTCCTTTGCGCTTCTGAGGAGGTCGCAAGAGGCCCCAAGATGGCCCCAAGAGGCTCCCAGGAGGCTCCCAAGAGGCCTCCAAGAGGCCCCCCGGAGGCCCCCAAGAGGCCCCAAGAGGCCCCCAAGAGGCCCCCAAGAGGCCCCCAAGAGGCCCCCTGAGGCCCCCTGAGGCCCCCAAGAGGCCCCCAAGAGGCCCCCTGAGGCCCCAAGAGGGCCCCAAGAGGCCCCCAAGAGGCCCCCAAGAGGCCCCCAAGAGGCCCCAAGAGGCTCCAAGAGGCCCCCAAGAGGCCCCACGAGCCCGAACGACTCAAACCAGGGCGAGGGGCCCGAACGACTCACACCACGAAGAGCCCGAACGACTCACACCACAAAGAGGTTCCCGAACGACTTACACCAGGACGAGGCGCCCGAACGACTCACACCACGAGGAGCCCGAACGACTCACACCACGACGCGGGCCTCGAACGACTCACACCACGAGGAGCCCGAACGAGTCACACCAGGAGGAGGGGCAGCGCTCATACAAGCCACCACGAGGAGCCCGAACGACTCACACCACGACGAGGGCCCCGAACGACTCACACCGCGAGGAGCCCGAACGAGTCACACCAGGAGGAGGGACCCGAACGACTCACACCAGGACGAGGGGCCCGAACAACTCACACCACGAGAAGCCCGAACGACTCACACCAGGACGAAGAGCCCGAACGACTCACACCACGAAGAGCCCGAACGACTCACACCAGGAAGAAGGGCCCGAACGACTCACACCAGGACGAGAAACCCCAAACGACTCAAACCACGAGGCGCGCTTTCTCTCCCTCCTCCTCCGCCTCGTCCTTCTCCCGCTCCCCCCACAAGGAGGATGTACAAGGAGGCGGGAGGAAGGAGTAACGGGGGAGATATGCGGGGGCAGGCGGGAACACGCCTGAAAAACACGACTGTCGGCATGCTTCGCAAGAGTTGCTGTTGAGAGATGGGCTGGTGGGGATACGCGAAGCGTAAAGAATTCTAGATCCCTTTCTGGGTTCTTGGCGCTGGCCTCGCAGGAACAAAGGCACGCGTCCGAGCGATGCCAAGAGGGAGCATGGCGTTGAAGGGCCGATCCCTCCTGAACGAGCCCATGACTTCTAAGGAGGCCGCCCCAATCGCCCTACCTCATTCCCAGGCCTCAAGCGTCGTCATGTTTCCAAAGCGCTGTACCGAATCACGTGGAACGATGTTGTTTGGTCGCTGCCTGTTTTTGATATGTTTGGTGGTCCTAGAGCCCGAATAATGACTCTGGAGGCCTAAGGCTCGCAAAAAAAAACTAGCTGCCGCCATTCTTTCCCACCACGCTGGATCTCCGAGACCTTACCAGTCAACATCACCCCGCGGACCTGTGCCCTCTGGCCAAAACTTCGACGCGGATCCGGCCAAGCAAAGCACAACCAAAAACGCCAAGAAGCCTCGATCCTGGAACCTCGAAACTCTATTTTGGCGCGCCGTCAGAAATTGCCGTGGCCCGTCGCCGTCGCCGACGCCGTCACGGCCACCGTCGCCGTCGACGCCGACGTCGTCCGACCCAAATCCGTTTTCTCGTGACCCACAAGGGGATCCAGCTGAAAGGGGGTGGTGCAATAGATTTGGGGCAATTGTTTTGCAAATGTACTGCGCCAGAGAATTGTATTGCATTGTATTCCAACTGGCGCATTCCACGCGAAAATCCAGCAATCCATCTGCGCACTGGAGAATGTAGCGCGCACCCCAAATCTGTTGCAACCCTTCAAATCTATTGCACCAAATATATTGCACCACCCCCTTTCTGCTCGACCCCCTTTGGGTCAACCAGACGTTTGAAATCGGTCCCCCGACCCCTCGCGGGGTCCATCCTGGCGAGCTCGTCACCCCAGGTGGATGTCTGACACGCTCGAGGCCCTGATGACGGCCTCCAGGCACCGAAAGCACAAGCAAAAAAGCCTTGTCGTGGTTGCCGGCGTCGTCAGCAGCTGCCTTTTGAGCCCCCCTCCAGGCACTATCCCCTCGTGGTACACCTCGCTGGTGGGCACCTCGGCCTCGAGACCCACCAGCTGGGCGGACCCGAACAGGAAGGGGAGAGCGTGGAAGTCGTCCAGGCCTCTCCCGAGGGGCGCTGCAAGGATTAGCCGGCATCGAATCGAGAATAGAGGAACAAAACATGGCATACTGTCATGGTCTTATTATCAGGGTGTCATTGGGAGTTCGCCTATACACGCTAGAGTGCTCCGCACTCAGCGTATCCTGCGCGGTCGGTACTTAGCGTGTATATCGGAGGGCTGCTTCACCCGACCCTACTTAGCGTGTGCGCCCCTGCGCTGCTTAGGGTGTCAACAGTTTCGGTTTCGCAGGGCCCGAAATCACATACACGCTGAGACAGTGGACCATGGCCGTAAACAATTAGCTCTTGAAGGGGCCCTGGCCGTGAACAGTGAATTTTTGAAGGTGCGCGCAGATGTCTTGGATCCGTGCTGGACCCCCCTCCCCTGGCGCGCGGAGCGCGCCAGGGGCGGCGCCCAGGGGCGCCGCGAGGGGAGCCCAGGCGCCGATCCAGGAGGTCCGCGCGGAGCTCCGAAAGTTTTGTACACTCGGGGATGGACAGACCTCCCTTTAGTAAAACGTGGTTTAGTGAAAACGACTTCGGGCCCAAACCTGGCGGGCGCAAGCCTGGAAAATAACGGCCACGGCGCCCTCACGAAAACCGAAAACGGACAATTCACTAATCGACGTGTCACTGTTGGGGGTTCTGTCCACCCCCGATACACGTGGGCATGGGGAAGCAAGCGAAGATCTAAACTGAACAACTCGGAGGTCCGCGCGGACTTCTCGGATCCGCGCCGGACCCCCCTCCCTGGCGGCGCCCAGGGGCGCCGCCCCTGGCGCGCTCCGCGCGCCAAGGAGAGGGGTCCAGCGCCGACCCGAGAAATCCGGGCGGACCTCCCAGTTTTGATGTTTAGGTCATTGCTTGTTTCCTGGTGATCGGCTCGGAGCGTGTGCCGGATCGGGCCTCATCGGGAGGCACATAGACATGCTAGCACCATGTGTCCTCCTCGGGGGCGTGCGTCCGACCCGGACATGCAGTAGAACCACCTTGTGGCACATCGTTTTCCCGGCGAGAAAGCGCCCGCCACGGAGATGCTCCTAGAAGTCGTCTTGGCGCGCGCGTCGCCCCTGGGGGAGGCGACGCAGCAGGGCGGTGCATCGGCAGAGGAAGGCACTGCCGCACGTGGGCAGACCCGTGCGCGGGTGCCGCAAGCGGGCGCCAGGGCGCCGGCACGAGGCGGAGGAGCAGCGGGGAGGGTCAGTGGTTTGAGTCGGTGCCGTGGGAGGCCGCAGACTGGGTGTCACAACGGACGATGTTCGGGGGACTTCGGCCGTCCTGGGCGGTCTTCTGACGGTCTTCGGCGGTTCCCGGCGGTCTTCGGCAATTTCCAGCGGTCTCTGGCGCGAAAGCTGGATGTTTGCAGTTGACGAGGGGTCGATGATCGAACACCTAAAGGGTGGGCAATGTTTTCATATTGATCGGAAACCATTTCTCTCTAGCTTCGGGGTGGCCTGGAGATCGACGAGAGAGCGAGGGAGAGGGGGAGGAAGACGAGGCCAAGGGGGAAGCAACGGCGAGCCGAAAGCGAAGGTACGGCAAAGCAGAAGTAATGAAGAGAGAGGAGGCGACAGACCGAAGAGACAAGACGAAAAGAGGCAGACAACAAGGGAGGACAAACAGAGAAAACCGAATTAAAGCCCGCAGCGGTAAATCAGACAAGGTGGGCAACTGGTCGGAAGCGGTTGGAAGCAAGAGTCCATGATAAGAACTAACATATCCCTAATCCTTTGGGAGGGGACCCAAGCGAGGAGGACCAAAACCATCAGGGACACAGGGGGTATGTGTTGCAGACGAGCCATGCGAAACCACCCATATGTTCGGGGATAGCCCTAAAAACCGTGGACCTAAACCAGGCCACGAACTCACTGTGTCTTTAGGGTTAGGGGTTGTATCATGCTCACACGCCAGTCGGAAGAAGTGGGTAGAAACATGAAGTAGGAAGGCGTTCAAGTAGATTGGGTTTCCACCCGCCTCCTGAAGAGGAGAGAAGAAAGGAGCCAGTTCGATCCTTGAAATAGGAAGGCGCCAAAAGTAGATTGGGATCTGGGAGCTCAAACAAAAATACCTACTTTCAACGACTGGCGTGTAACGAGTCGAGGCAGCGCAGGCCGCCGTGTCCACCGCGTTCTTCCAACGAGGCAGGTCCATCTGTTGAAACGAACCGTTGTTGGGGCCTGTGAAGGGGGAGCTTGGGGGGACGGTTTATTCCAACATCGTTGGTGACCCTGGGTTTTACAATGGTCCTACTCCTTCTCCTCCTCCTCCTCCTCGAGAGAGAGAGAGAGAGAGGGGAACGCTGTGGGGCCCTCCTGTCTCGCAATTCGGGCATTCGCATCATCACCATCAGCATCATCATCAGCATCATCATCATCATCATCATCAGCATCATCATCATCATCATCATCATCATCATCATCATCACCATCATCATCATCATCATCAGCATCATCATCATCATCATCATCATCATCATCATCATCATCATCAAAAACCATCATCATCATCATCATCGGCGCCATCGTAATCATGACCACCACCATCAGCATCAGCATCACCATCATCATCACCATCATCATCGTCATCGTTAGCATGATCATCATAATTATTGTTGTTGTGCCTGTAATACGCATCTATGTTCAAGTTTTCTTCTGCGGCCACGCTTCAGAACCGTCTTCGGCCATGGGCAACACCCGCAAGGGAACCAAGGAGCACAGGGACAAACTCGACGCTAACAACGAACGGCGGGCGAAGATACGGGTGGAGAAGTTTCTGAAGCAGGAGCGGACTCGAAAGGTCCTACTGAAGGCTGGGCGCCAAGCTGCTGCGAAGCTGCGGGCGCAGACTCTCGAGTACCGACGGCAAGCCAACGACTTGAGGACAGGCAACATGAAATCGTACCAACAACAACAACTTGGCGGCACGTCCGTTTCTGTGCTCCCGCGAAAGGCGACCGCCTTTCGAACCCGTTTTTTTCTCGCCAGGCCGCACTCCTTCGTTTGCGGGGCATGCAGAATCTGACGCGCCGCTTTGCATGTGTTGTCGGAGTGTATCACGTTGCGATAGGAGACGGTCAAACAAGCACTACCGCGACAAGGGCGCGGCGGAGGCAAGCCTGAAAGCCTTGACGCGGCAGAGAGACCAGCTGCTGCAACAGAACCGGAGGCTGACGGACAAGCTGGCTGCTGCCGAAAAGAAGGCGGACGAGCGGGAGAGAGACCAGCTGGCGCAGCAGAACAGCAGGCTGACGAAAAAGCTGGCCGCCGCTGAGAAGAAGGCCAACGAGCTTGAGGGTGCTACCTCTGAGCTGCGCTCCTGGAAAAGGTGGTGGGCCAGCTTCAAGAGCTGGGCCCCCGACCACCTGCCGCGGAAACTCGCAAAGCGAGTTTTTTGGTTGGCCGAAAACGGCCCGCCGAAGGAGCACGCTAACGACTGGGGCTGAACGCAGCCGCGCAGCTGCAGACTTTAAAAAAGCAACAACACAAACAGACGAAAGCGACGGCGACGGCTGAGGGAGGAGCGGGAGAGGGCGCCCAGGGCCCAAAACGTTACCAATGGATTATGCTTGAGGGCCCGTGATGTTTCTGAGGGCATTTCAAAACAGAGATGCCCTCAACGCAGCGATGTTTGAGGATATCCCAAACGAGGGAGCCGCCAGATAGTTTGGGGTGTTGTTGATAGGGGCATCCCAAACAGGGATGCCCTCAACGCAACGATGTTTGAGAGGGTCCCAAACAAGGGCGCCGCCAAACATTTTTGGGTGTTGTTGATAGAGGGCATCCCAAACAGGGATGCCCTCAACGCAACGATGTTTGAGAGGGTCCCAAACAAGGGTACCGTCAAACATTTTGGGGTGTTGTTGATAGAGGGCATCCCAAACAGGGATGCCCTCAACGCAGCGATGTTCGATGGGGTTTCCAAACAGGGGCACCGCCAAACAGTGTGGAGTGTTGTTGATAGGGGCATCCCAACGGGGATCTGGTAGCTCCGTAGCTGGCCTGGCTCAAGTTTGCACTAGCGCTCAATTGCGTTTTGTTTTCTTCAACTAGGCTTGCTGATTTGCCTTGAGATGCCCATGTGCGATGGAGCGCGGACGCCCTTGCGGGGCACAGCCGCGCCGTACGTGCCCAGTCCGAAGCACCTAGAGATGTCCTCATACGACGACGACTTCTGCACCGTCGCGTGGATGATGAACGCGAAGCATGGTTCCATGCACGCGGAGCAGTGTGGCCAGAAAAAAAGAGCGGGATGTATGGTCCGCTCCAGGCGATGTGCACCATGCCGAGCCATCGCTTCACGGATACGCAGTGGGCCAGCCAGTGTGCTGGGCTGTCAAAGACGCCAGCTACGGCATGCGCGGCTACGTCATCGGCACCAGCAGCGGCTACACTGAGGATTCCCTGCTCGTGTCATTTAACGGCGAGAACTACCACGTGAAATTGAGCTCTAAATCTACCCACCGCCAAAAGAGAGGGCAACAGAAAAACCAGACGATTGCCCAGGCGCCCAATGGCTGCGACGTAGTTGTCGAGCCGCAATTGCATGGTCATGCGGTGGGATCGACCGTGCACCTTGCAGTGAAGAAGCGCCAGCCCCTCGGCCCGCGCAAGGGCAACGTCATATACGGCATGAAAGGCACCGTGATTGGCCAGAGCACAGCTTTCACGGAGCCCTCGTTGCCCGTGATGTTCAACGGCGAGAACTACCACGTCAGGAAAAGCGCCTTGTCCACTACGCGCCCGAACCATGGCAAGGTAGCAGGAACCCTCGGCAAGCGCCCCGACATGCTGTGCGACGTCGCCGAGTGCTACGACATGGTCGAGAACCCTCCGCTGAAGGTCTTTGACATCGACGACCAGCCCAGGGTCGCGGCGAAGAGGAGGCACCCAGCGGCGAGCTATGCGTCCCCTGAGATCACACTCCCAGTTCGCCTGTTCTTCGCGGCACTCCTCGGCGCCATTTGCGGGCCGATTGGGGCGCGCAAAGAGCCTTTCACCAAT